TATTATCTTTTCCGTTAATTTCTGTTAGTTCACCGTTAACTTATTCATTGATTTCAATAAGAAAGGTGTTAAGTTCGAAGTTCCAACCCCATCCCAATCAAAGTTGGCATATTTAGTACTCTATTTTACTTTTATTAAATTAAATAATAATTTAGTAGTTACAACAAAAAATAATACATATGCATTTCGATATTTAATTTAGAATTATGTATGTACAATGTTTTTATTCAAAAAAATTATTCATTATCAATAAATTAAATAAGAGAAATAATTGTATTAGTTATATTGTCTTTATTTTTCTACAATATAAAAATTCTTTATATTCAAAATTATTCATTATCAATAAATTAAATAAGAGAAATAATTGTATTAGTTATATTGTCTTTAATATTAGAATTAGACTAACGGTGAATTAACGGAAAAGTTAAATGGATAATCATATAATTAAGGATAAATTAGAAAAATTTAAAAAAAAAATTAAAACCTGAACAATTTGAACCATTCATTTGATTTAATAATTTGGCGGTCATTTTTTCTACCCAATGTTAATAATTAAATAAATTCGTTGGTCAAATCCGCTAATATAATCCGCTAACTGCTGATTGTCAAACAAGGACATTGCAAGGTAGTTCTCACTTCAATTTGTTGTGTGATTTGAATACTCTCTTTGTCACAAAATCTCTCAAGTAGTTAATATGGTTGGCTTTATTAATTATATATATTTTTTAAATTTTTTCATGGTATTAATAAAATACTTGGTAAATAAATATATAGCATTATTTTGTATTATAACTTTGATATTTAATTAGAAAAATAGTGCACAAAAAAGATAATAGACAATGTAGTGAATATAATCAATTGATGAATTTGAATGTAAAAATTTTTACATTTGAGAAAAATAAAGACAATATAACTAATGAAAATATTTCTCTTAATTAATTTATTGATAATTAATAATTTTTTTTCACTGAATTAAGACATTGTAAGGACAATGTAGCGAATATAATCAATTAATAAATTTGAATATAAAGAATTTTTATATTGTAGAAAAATAAAGACAATATAACTAATACAATTATTTCTCTTATTTAATTTTATTGATAATGAATAATTTTTTTTGAATAAAAGCATTGTGGACACATAATTCTAAATTAAAGAAATGCATATCTATAATTTTTTGTTGTAGCTACTAAATTATTATTTATATAATTTAATAAGAGTAAAATAGAGTACTAATTATGCCAACTTTGATTGGGATGGGTTTCGAACCTAAGACCTTTTTTTTTTTTATTGAAATCAATGAGTAAGTAAACGGTGAGCTAACGGCAATTCTTAAAATTTTAACGGAATTAGTAACGGTGTGTGGGTATTTTAGGAAATTTTAGTGTAAATTTTAAATCTTATCAATCTTTTAATCAATCTGAGCCATTCATTTAATTAAAATCTGTGACCACCATTTTTTCTACCCATTATAGGCCTAACTCTCTTGGGCTCTTATTAGTATATATACTAGTTTTTTACGCGCATTGCGCGATTGGGATAATGTCCAATGCTTTTTTGTTAAATAAGTACTTTAAAGTATATTAAGGCAGGATTATATTGAAATTGTTCATTCATAGATAATTGAAGGTTGAATTTGCGTATTTAAATAGGTAATTCTTCTCCCAAAGATTGAGTCCCCAACCCCAAGGGCCCCCCACACTCCGACCCGACAGAGCATTGTGGGAAGTTGTAAATCACGGTGACTCAATGGTTCAGCAGACAGGGCCAAATGCTGATACGCACAAGGAATCTGCCCATTTTGGACATAATTCCCGCACTGCCGCCGCCAAGGTTCAAACCTTGGTCTCTTCTCCCAAATACTACCCACTAAATCATTGAGCTAAGCCCGTGCGAGTTAAATAGGTAATTCTAAGTTTACAAATGCAAGATAATATAGTCAAGATTGATTATAATTGTCAATAAAATAATTGTATAGGTATAGTTGAAACCAAATACGGGACATAAGGGAGAACAAATAAAAATTAGGGCATAAAATATTAAATATATACTAATATTGTTTGAGGAGATTCCGACATTAGGATTTGTGGTTAAGTTCTATTAAGACTTTAATATTAGAATTAGATTAATGGTGTAGTTATAATTCTATATTAGACTTTAATATTAGAATTAGACTAACGGTGAATTAACGGAAAAGTTAAATGGATAATCATATAATTAAGGATAAATTAGAAAATCTTAAAAGAAAAAAATTAAAACCTGAACAATATGAACCGTTCATTTGATTTAATAATTTGGCGGTCATTTTTTCTACCAAATGTTAATAATTAAATAAATTCGCTGGTCAAATCCGCTAGTATAATCCGCTAACGCTAACCGCTAACTGCTGATTGTAAAAAAGGACATTGCGAGGTAGTTCTCACTTCAATTTGTTGTGTGATTTAATTTGAATACTCTCTTTGTCACAAAATCTCTCAAGTAGTTAATATGGTTGGCTTTATTAATTATATTTTTTTAATTTTTTCATGGTATTAATAAAATACTTGGTAAATAAATATATAGCATTATTTTGTATTATAACTTTGATATTTAATTAGAAAAGTAGTGCACAAAAAAGATAATAGATAATGTAGTGAATATAATCAATTGATGAATTTGAATGTAAAAATTTGTACATTTGAGAAAAATAAAGACAATATAACTAATGAAAATATTTCTTTTAATTAATTTATTGATAATTAATAATTTTTTTTTTCACTGAATAAAGACATTGTAAGGACAATGTAGCGAATATAATCAATTAATAAATTTGAATATAAAGAATTTTTATATTGAAGAAAAAATAAAGACAATATAACTAATAAAATTATTTCTCTTATTTTTTTTTTGAATGCATTATTTCTCTTATTTAATTTATTGATAATGAATAATTTTTTTTTTTTTGAATAAAGGCATTGAGGACACATAATTCTAAATTAAAGAAATGCATATGTATTATTTTTTGTTGTAACTACTAAATTATTATTTATATAATAATTTAATAAGAGTAAAATAGAGTACTAATTATGCCAACTTTGATTGGGATGAGGTTCGAACCTAAGACTTTTTTTTATTGAAATCAATGAGTAAGTTAACGGTGAACTAACGGCTATTCTTAAAATTTTAACGGAATTAGTAACGGTGTGTGGGTATTTTAGGAAATTTTAGTGTAAAATTTAAATCTGATCAAACTTTTAATCAATCTGAGCCATTCATTTGATTAAAATCTGTGACCGCCATTTTTTCTACCCATTATAGGCCTAACTCTCTTGGGCTCTTATTAGTATATATATATATATATATATATATATATATATACTTATCACATGTCAAATTATGACCGTTTAATTATCTAATTAGGAATTCTCTGTTATCCTAATTTAGCAATCAACAAATCACACCATGTTATGTTAGTGGGCAAAGTTTTTATCATCCCAGTAACTTTAATTTGTATTTTTCTAATGAAATATTCTTCATTTCATTAGTAATCATTCAATGTATGTAAGAGATTTTTGTATTATATTATTTTGTTCAATTTCATTACATTTATAAACTTCCCCATAGGTATATGTATAGGTAAAAACAAAAAAAAAAAAAAAAAAAAAAAAACAACAAAAAAAAAAAAAAAAAAAAAAAACAAAATTCCCTCCATCGATATAAAATGGATCTTGCCATTTATTCTTTTTTGGTCTTTATTGATTTATATACTCATCATCATCGCACCCGTAGATTTAAAAGGATCCATTCATAGGCCTGAGCGGATATCGTTTGTCCACAAACAAAACATAAAACCAAGTAGGTTTTAGTAGTAGTTCATGAGAAAACTGGAGCATTTTTTCTCTCTCATAAGTAGAAAAAGTATGAAGAATCGCTAACAAAGGAATTTCTGTTTGACCATGTTCCCAGAAAAAAAGATACTTTCGAGAAACGACAAGCACGATCAATGCACCCCCGGTGTGCGACATGGGGGCAAAAAAGCAAAGAGAGGGATGTGGTCTCTCTCAATCATAACTTGTTTGACATCTTAAACTATGCAAAACTTTAGAGATAGTCCATAGTAATGGGGATCACATTGGTGGGAATATAGGTCAATACGTCTACATTGGTCTTCTTTCGGATCCTCCCCAAATCAAGTTGTAGAAACCCTCTCCTTCTTTCTTCCTTCTCGGCAGAACACTGCCTCAACCCAAGCAAAAAAAAGAAAATTCATCTTCTTCAAGACTCCATCTCTACTCCTAGAAAATTCAAAGTTGCATTCTACAACTTCTTCTAAGTGCAAAAAAAAGAAAAAAAAAAAAATACCACTTGAGTCATCTACCTCTCTTCAACCAAGTTCAAGTCAATAAGCTTGAGATTGCAAATGACAAAAGGGAAGCAACAAGCTGGAGAAAGTAGTCATGAAGGCTTAAACTACTCAGCTATTGGAGGTAAAACCTTTATCTCTGAGCACTTTTCTGAGGAAATTAATCATTGGTTAGGAACTCAAAGATTTCTAAGAAAATTTCTAGGAACTCAAGGATTTCTGAGGAAATTAATCATTAGTTATTTTTTCCTTTCCTGGATTCGAAGTACCTGCGATGGACAGCGGTGGGGTACCACATGTCTGTTACGGGAGGGACTATATATGCACCGTTTTGATAATTGAGAGACAATATTTACACAACTCATAATTTATGGGTGACATTGATAGTTGATTATAGAAGGATATTTTTTACGATTTTTCCATAAATAAATTATATTAGAGTGATGGATGTTGCTTTGCATTTTAATTTATAATAACTACTGAACCACGCTGTCCACGCACATTCATCAACTACTAATTATATTATTATATTACTAATTCAAAGCTAGGTCAAATAGGATTACTAAAATTATATTGCCTAATAAATGAACGCACGATACATTCAATTTCCCAACAATTCAAAGCACCGTTCCCAAAACTCACAGCTGGCCGCTGCAAATAAAAAGTTTCTCTTTAGATATTAATAAAATTACAATAAAAACAAATATGGCAGCAAGCTAATTAATTAGCTCTTCTCAGATCAGATCAGACTGTTGCTTGCATATTTGATCGATCTAGTTTTCAGTGTGCAATACATATTCTTAGCAGCAAATTAAATTACAGATTGGAATTGAGAGATAGATCATAGATGGCTTGTGTTGCTTTAACTTCTCTGATTAAAACCATTGAGATTCAGTTTGTTGGGCAAACACCAAGGGTAACCCTGTCTCTCAATGATCGCGCAGGAATCAAGTCTTTCCTTGAAAATCTTTCTTTTTTGCAAGCCCATCTCCCGAAGGAATCCAGTGGTGATGGTGATGCAGTACTCAAACTCAGAGATTTAGAAATGGAAATCAGAGACTTTGCACTCAAAGCTGAAGACGATATTGAGCTACAGCTTAGCAACATCATTCTCGCTCATCAACACGGAGGAGAGTATGGAGAAAAAGCTGCAGCTTGCCATCAACTCCTCCTCCATCAAACTTTGCAAAAAGCTGCAGAAAATGCAACAGAGCTGTTGGAGTCATAAAAAATAATGGGTAGTGCTACTTTTGCTTTAACTATTCTCATCAAAAAAATAATGGTGTATGATTGTGATGGTGAAACAGCAATGACAATGGTAATGTTCTCACGACAGCTTTCTACCCTGCGAGGCTGCTTATTGCAGGAGAGGAATTCCAATAATTCTGCTGCTGCAATCAAAATATTGGAAAACAAAATCATAAACTTCGCACTCAAAACTGAACATGACCTCCAAATACAACTAAATAACTTCCTTCTAGCCAAACACACCATACATCAAGAAGAAGCATCCCAGAAACTCAATCACACCTTGCAAGAAGCGTCAGAAAGTGCAAGAGAGTTGTTGAAAATAATCGAAAGTAGAAGCAGCAATGAAGTTGATGATGATGATGAGGCAAATCAAACTCAACCATCAAATACTTGGTTAAAACATGCTAGTGTTGCGAATGTTGAATCTGATGGATCCACCTCACATGGCTTTCTAAAGCCTGAGGGCAGAATGGTTGGTCGTCACAGTGATTGTACAGTCATAAAGAACCAACTCTTTTCTTGCGGTCCTGGACTAAAGATAATCTCAATTGTTGGAATGGTGGGTATTGGAAAGACGACTTTAGCAAGAAATGTGTATGAAGATCCATCAGTTGCATCCTATTTCGATGCAAGAGGTTGGGTTACTATACCTCCTCCTCAACACTACAATAAGAGCGGAATGCTAAGCCAACTTCTTCAGTCAATTACACCAGTAGAAGAGCCAAATGTAATTAAAAAGGGAAGCACTCCTCATGAACTAGAAATGCAGATACGCAAATGCTTTGGTGGTAAGAAGTATCTAATTGTTTTGGACAACATTACGAGCAAGGAAACTTGGAAGCAAGCTCGGATTGACATCATAAGGTGTGTTGTTAATAATGGATTAGATGGAAGTTACATATTACTAACCACTAGACACTACTTCAGCCTAGATGTCCACAAGAAAAGATACCATATCCATAAGATGACTTTGCTAGATCAAAAAGAAAGCTGGGAACTATTTTGTAATATCCTTTCTATTGATGAAGAGCACTTGGCCCCTAAATTTGAAAAAATTAGGAACCATGTTGTGGAGAAATGTGATGGATTACCCCAGTTAATTGTTGAAGTTGCCAAGCGTTTATCTAAATGCAATAACATACAACAAGGGTGGAAAAAGATTGAAAAGGAATTAGAGTCATTGGGACTTCTAGATCGCAATGCACTCAGTATTAGTTACAATATGTTGCCACATCGTTTGAAAGTTTGCTTTCTATACTTTGGAGTCTTCCCAAAACGTAAAAAAATTCCGGTTAAGATGCTTATAAGGTTGTGGATTGCCGAGGGATTTGTGAAGCCATGGAAACATAAGAAGTTAGAAGATGAAGCTCATGAGTACTTACAAGAGCTTACTGATAGAAGTCTTCTCTTAATTGAAGATCGAAATTGTAACGGCAAAATAAAGACTTGTAGAATGCACAGTGCCTTACATAGCTTCTGCGTAGGAGAAGCTCAAAAAGAAGGTATTTTATGTGCAGTAAATACTCAGCAACATTCAGGATTATCATTAAAAGCATTTACAAATTCTTGTCGTTGGCTAAGTTCTTACTCACACAGTTTTGACTATTATGTGCTCTTTGGTACGAACATCCCTCGTTCCATTTTCTTCTTTCTTGAAAATCTTGAAATGTTTGTTCCTCCCAAGCTGTTAAGAGTTTTGGCTTTTGATACTTCTATATCACTTCAAAGAGTGCCAGTGCAATTAGGAGGTTTAGTTTTACTGAGATACCTATCCATAACACAATGGTTTGAGGATCTGGATGATGTAGTGTCAAATAATCCAAATTTAGAGACACTTGTTGTTTCCGGTAATGGAGCACCAACAATCCATTTGCCATCTAGTATTTGGAAGCCACCAAACTTAAGGCATCTCGAACTTGGCAATTCATATATGGTAGATCCTCCAAGTGTGGCTAAAGAGAACTTACAAACATTATCTTGGGCGGTGAGACCAATTAATTGCAGAAAAAAGGTGTACAACAAGTTCCCTAACATAAAAAATCTGAAAATTTTCCTGAAGGATGACATAGAGCCCAGTCACATTGGAGGATGTTGCAGCAATCCTATTATTTTAGATCGTTTTGACTATTTGGAAGGGCTTGAGAAGCTTAGCATTTTGGTTTCCATTGGTTGCAATGCAGCCCTTCCAAAACTGGCTAGGTTTCCTTCAGGACTGAAGAAGTTGAAGTTGAGTGGGACTAATATTTCTGAGGGGGATTTAAATGTAATTGGCATGTTACCCCATCTTAAGGTGCTCAAGTTGGAAAATGCCTTCCATGGAACAATATGGAAAGTAGCTGATGGAAGATTTCGTCAATTAATATTCTTACTCCTTGAAGCTAAAGAACTCAAGCAGTGGGAACATAGCTGGAATGAGTTTCGGATGCTCAGACACTTAGTCTTAAGATCCTGTAATTCTTTGGAACAGATCCCAATTAGTTTTGCAGAAATTTACACCTTGAGGTCAATTGACTTGGAGGGGTGTAACTCTTCCCTTGTCATTTCTGCCAAGCAGTTACAACAGAAGAGAAGATCCAAGTATTTTAAGGTTAGAAGCTAAATCATGTTTCTTTTTATTTCTTTTGTATTCAATGCTGACTTTCTTTACAAAATCAGTTAGTATTTCTTTTTTCTGATCTCATTTTTTTTTTGTGCATTATTTTTCACAGATCAAAATCCTTGGCCCCAAATAAGATGACTAACAGAATACACATACAAAATTGTCTATGTAAGATTACTTGGGCGGCCAGCCTCATAGTAAATAACTGTTGGAAAACGGTATGTGTTACAGTGTTAGGTTACATGTGTCTTGCTCATATATTTTTATTTGCATGCCAAATACATATAGTTGCATATACAAAAAATAAATTCACTGGTTAAGATTTAATGATTCCTAGTTAATGGAATTAAGAAACCTGCAGATCGAGTATTCAGAAGTTGATCTTTAAAGATGGGCTCAAGAGCTTTGTGTTAAAAAGACGGTGGATAACTTTTTATAGCAAACATTATATTTTGAAGGAGAAGAATATGTATGTTGGTGATTAAAGATCTACTACTACTTCATGACTATATGTGACTGGGGCAAGCTAGGAAGGTATTTCCATTTCATCTCATCTGGTGCCTATATGTGATGATCATACTACTTTAATTTACATCTATGTTTCTTTTCTCTACCTCTCGCAATATAATTAATACCTTTTTGAAAACTGGGAAGCTAAGCTGCTAGTAGTCAAGTGTTGACTATTGAAGATGTAGAGGTAAGAAGACATGATTAGTTATTTCCTTCTAATTGAAGGATGGATGTGTTTTGTTTCAACTAAAATTTTAAATTCATAGTGAGACTACACTTATTGCGTTTATATATTTTGTTCAACAGTTGTGCCTCTCAGTAATTGATATTGATGATTTGTCAAGGCTTATTATAATTCTAAAAACTTCTTCATGAGATTGATTATATTTATATCCATTTTAGACATTCTGTAAGGCATTAATATGAAAGATTTTACAGTGATCTTGAAATTGCTTTCAGAACCTTAAAAATTTGTATTCTTCAAAGAGGTTGCAGAACGTGCAGAAGAAGCATACCTTTCCCCAACAAAGAATGAAAAAAAATTTAACAGAGAGAATATTAGACTGATGTTGCTTTTTATTTTAACTTCACAACTATTGAACTACTAATTACTATTTCTGTTAGGATAAATGAATGAAACATTCAATTTGCCAGCAACTAACAGTATGAAATAAAAAATGGAGAAGTTTAAAATCACAGTATGAAATTATCCTACAAAAATTACACCTCGATCTACAGTTGCTAACAACTTTGTTTCTGTGATGATGATGTGTTTGATGCATTCTTTTTCTGATTTGATCTCATTTTGTTTTCTCTGTTTTGCACTATTTTTTCGTAGATCAAAATCCCTGAATGCAATGAATTACAAATAGAAGAGTCTGTACAAGACAACTTGGTCTGGCTCGTAATGAACTAACAGTTAGTTTAAAATGGTATGTGTGAGGTTGCATGTGTTTTTGTATCTGCATTTACATTTGCATGCGAGATGAAATGAAATGGTGTTGCTATCTTGTACAGATAATTCAAGGTTACAAATGAATTGGTTCCTCATGACTTCATCAACTGATCGATCTTCATTTCAAAATTGATGGTCGAGGTTAGAGGCTTCATCATGCTTCATTCTTAATATTTTATTTTCTTTAATGTGAGGAATCACCGTATCCACATGTAAAAGAGGACTTGGAGTCAATTGCGTTGGAGGGGTGTCACTCTTCCCTTGTCCTTCTTCCAATCAGTTTCAACAAAAGAGAGGATTTAAAGGTTAGAAGCTAAAACTTGTTTCATTCTTAATTTGTATTTATTTCCTATCAATGCTGTCTTTATTTACAAAATCAGTACTTTTTTTTTTTTTTTTTCAATCTGATTTCATTTTCTGGATTATTTTTCACAGATCAAAATTCTAGACCCTGAATACGGTGATAACAAATAAAGAAGTGTGTATGTAAGAAGTCTTGTCCAGCCTCATAGTATACAACTCTCAGAAAATGTTAAGTGTTAGGTTACTACATGCGTCGGGTATCTACATTTTTTATTTGCATTATTGCATACCAAATAAAATGATGTGCTGATTTTTCAGTTGTATAATTTTTGCATTTTATAGAGTTACATCCCACTTCATTTATTTATTTTATCTAGTAAGTGTAGCTTACACTAGAGTCAGGCTTGATAGAATTATATCACTCTATCACCACATTATTACCTGAAAGAACATCAATATCGCTCTATATATTCCGGGGGAGGACTGGTGTCGTTTCCTTGTACAGATATATTGAAGGTTTTAATTTCATTGTTTCCTTAGACCTCAGCTGTGAAAATGTACCGTGCAGTCACTCCAACAACATAATAGAAAGATGCACCAGACAGTTTCATTAGTTATTTCTTTGGTTAAGAGTGAATGATTCCTCATTAATGAAAGAAACTTATTATGATTGATTGCTACTACAGAGTATCATATTCTTCAAAAATCCAAGCTGTACTATTGATCATAATTGCCTTGTTTCAAAAAATGCAATGGATATTCTTTGACACACAAATAGTTTCTGATTTGCAGGCCATTAAAGATGACCCGATTTCACTTGTGAATTGTGCAGTAATCCATGAATTGGACAACCTTGACTGTGTTGGAAGGGCTTGAGAAGCTAATGATTTAAGTTTCTGTTGGCTGCACTGTAACTCTTCAAATCGGTCTGTGTTTCCTTTCCTACCCGAGAAGTTGAGATTGAATGGGTTTTAATCATTTTGAGAGGCATATAACGGTATGTAGTTGGCATGTTGCTCTAGCTTAAGGTGTTCAAGGGAGAAATTTCCTTCCACGGAAAAGTATGGGAAGTAGTTGAAGGAGGATTCTGTCAATTAGGATTCTTGCTTCTTGAAATAAAAAGCCTGAAGCAGTTGAAGGCTAATAAATATTCCTTCCATATCTCTGGCACTTGCGTTTAAGATTCTGTCATTGTTTGGAAGAGATTCCCGGGAGTTTTGCAATATTTTGCAGTCAATTGAGTTGAAACAGTGCAGCCCTTGTATTGTCGCTGTTGCCAGGCAGATTCAAGAAGGCTACATCCATTATTAAAAAGAATTGAATGTTTGAGGTTAGAAGCTACATCATATCATGCTTCATTCATAATTTTTTATTTTCTTATACATTCTTTACAAAAGCTTGCTGTTACTATTTCTTTTTCTGATCTCATTTTGTTCTCTCCATTTTCCATAGATCAAAACCGACAGGATTGAAAATGAGGAATCACCGTATCCACATGTAAAAGAGGACTTGCCAGACATGATATATAGTGAGCTAGTTAAGCGCTATTAGAAAAATGGTATGTACACAGATACATATCTCATGTCTGCCCATCCATTGTTTCCAACATACTTTATGATATATTAGAAAACATGACTAGTTTTCTGGTCTTTTTTCAAAAAAAAAAAAAAAAAGCATTTGATATTGTTTGACAGCCAAATGTTTCTCATTTGCAAGGCATTAAGGATTAACTTTCTTTACAAACTAGTTACTATTTCTTTTTCTAATCTAACCTATGATGAATCACAAAAGAAGAGTATGTACAAGAAAACTTGGTAAGGCTCACAGTGAATTAACAGTTATTTAAAAATGGTATATATGTGTGAGGCTTCATGTGTCTTTGTATCTGCCATGCATGTTAAAAGAAATGAAATGAAATGGTGTTGAATTGCTACCTTGTACAGATATTGTTTGAATTGTTGTCTGGTGCTTTAATTTTCTCCCCTTGTTACTCAATAAATTCCAAGTGCTATCATTGATGATACAATTACCTTGTTTTGAAAAATGCATGGCAGTGGGTATTCATTCTTTGACAGAAAAGTAGTTTCTCATTTGCAGACCATTCTCAATGCAATGGATAGCTCAATAGCTACTATCTTCAGTCAAGATACTATTGCAGAGGATCCAAAATATGCTAATAGATGGCATTGAAACACGGGCTAAGGAACTTCCTCTCAAGTGGACAATTTAATGGTCAGATTTTCCTCAGAAGGAAGGAGATGCACGCTGGTGATCAATACCAGTATGCTTAATTGAGTAAACTAATGTTGATGGTTTTCATGTTGGTGTCTATAGCAGGCAATTAAGTTTATTCATCTGGTGCCTATATGAGATGATGATGTGACTATATATATGACTTTACATCTCGCTTTCTTTTCTGTTCTGCAAATAATTCTTTGTTTTGATATGGTTTTGCCCACAACATTTTGAACTGGTAGTGCTCAAGCTATTGGAGATGTTGAGATAAGAGGAATTGGTTGGTTACTTTGTTCTGCCTCTGGCTGATTGATATTGATTTACAAGCTGAGTATATGATATGCCATTTATTAGCGATGATTCTGCGGCAAGAATAATGTATATTACCTTATATATGTAATTACAAAAAAATAAGTAGCATTTATGTGTAATTGGGAATTAGGAGAATAATTAATTATTTCATTATTATAATTGCATTATTTTAGGAAGTGAGATAGTATATATTTGGTATTCTATATAACTAGTTTTTGCGCCCGTGCGATGTACGAAATAGATTTGTTATAATATATTAAAAATATTTGGATTGATATATAATTATTTAAATTAGAACATCAAATATTATATAGTGCAATTGAGGATATGGTTTGGATTATTTATGTGTTTTGATGTTATCATTGTTTGAATTTGAGCAAATAATTGCTCAAATTAATAGTTAATGTGTAGAGTACGCATGTGGTGCTGTAACTTTGGAGATTTTATTTATCATTGTTTAGCATTTTTTTAATAAATTAGGCAAATGTGTTCGTTCTCTAGCAACTCAGTTATAGGAATGAATTGCTATCTTAATTCATTTGTATGCAATATATATATATATATATTTTTTTGTCTAGATATATAGCAATTTTGTCATTTAAAAAAACATAATATCAACAATTGTATTTATACATTATTGAAACCTCTTTGTAGACGACATTGGTAGCAACACAATCTTGTCCATTATCGTATAGAGCTAACACCTTCAGTGCATCAGGATAGGTGACTCGGGTGAAAATATATAATGGTAGAGTATTAGTCAATTAGCGATCATTTTATATTTTAAGTCAATTAGTAATATCAAATTCATTTTCAGCAAATTATTCTTTTATATTTTTAGTCAATTAGTCAATTAGAATATCATATGCATGGATATTTTTACCTAATTTTCGTTCCATTTTTAATTGACGATGTATAATAATATTATTAAAATATTTCCGTTCCATTTTTAATTTATCTTTAATATTGTTTAAAATATGCATTTACTATTTATGATGTTGAATTATTATTGAAATATTTCCGTCAAATTTTAGTTTCCATTCCATTTTTAATTAAAATGCAATGATCTAACCATTTATTTTTTTCATATTAATCAATTATAGATCATTTTTTATTTGCAGTCAACTATTAGTATTCATTTCTTTTTATATTTTCAGTCAATTTGTAATGTCATATTCATTTTCAACCAATTATTCTTTTTTTTTTTATTATTATTTTCAGTCAATTAGCCAATTAGAATATTAGATGCAGACATGCAGTGGTATTTTTACCTAATTTTTGTTCTATTTTTAATTGATGATGTAGCACATTATTATTGAAATATTTCCGCTTCATTTTTAATTTTTGTTGCATTTTTAATTTACCTTTAGTATTGCTTAAAATATGTCTTTACTATTGATGATGTAGAATATTATTATTTAAATATTTCTTTTTCATTTTTAATTTACTTTTACTTGATGATGTAGAATATTATTTTAGCCCAACCAATTGAAATATTTCCGTTCAATACTTTAAATAGTCTAAATTAGTATTAGGCTAATATAAAATAGAAAAGTCATGGGCTTCTTCCTCGATTTTTCGATCGGTTATTCTATTTTTGACCCAAAATCGATAACTGACCAAAAACCGAAATGACCAATTTTTTTTAAAGATAATAATCGATAACTGACCGAAAATCAAAATTTTTGGTCGTTTCAGTTATCGGTCATCGGTTTCTCGATCGGTCTGATTTTTTTGCTCACCCCTATCAATTATGAGTGTTGCCATCGATTAAGGAACCGCAATAAATTCCAATTTCAAAATATTTTTATTAGCACAACACATAAAGACATCACCATGTCACAAAAAGATAAGTATTGTTGTTATTACTATTAATTATTATTTATATTTATATTAATTTTTTAACTAGCTAATGTGTCAAACCTGCAACTTGTTAAAATAAAAACAATAACATGACAAGTTCTTCATTTTCAACATAATACAGCAAGCTCCATATTTTCGCTTACATAATATGGTATAGTAAGCTTTGTGCTACCAACTACATTGCAAGGCAAGCCCTATGTTGTCACCTAAATTTTATGGTAAGCTTTGTGTTACCTTTTACAATAGTAGTCACAATGAAAAAGTATGCAGTTTGTCACAAGAAAGGAAAGATTTGGATTTCTGAACCTATTTCTTCTATTTAGAAATTTATATTGAAATTGACATTAAGGGCATACCATCTAGTCATGTGTTATTAAGCTTGCAGGGGATAACAATCATGTTCTCATTATCTGATGCATATATTCTCAATGCTTCAAATATTTACTCTGGTGCTTTGCACTTGCGCGCCAATTATGACGTTATATATCATCTTCAAACACTTCGTGAGGAGGTGTCAACTTTAGTGGCCATTGCACAAACTTGTAGTCCGGATTACACCTGTCATTAAGAATACACTATGAGTGTTGTTATCTTTACATGCTATTTGGTTTCACATGTCATAGATTTCTACTTTTTTTCATTGACACATATTTTGAGGCCCAGAAAGTGGGGTCTAATGATAGAATTATATTAATTATATTATATTATCATTATTGATCAAGAATGGGAAAGTCAAAGAAGAGGGAATCAAGACAATAAAACAGAGATATTGTGTTCATGATGTTTGGGAAAGTTGCAACTATAAGGAGATGACCGTATATAAACGCTCAGAGATTAGACAGAGGGGACCAAGCTCACGCTCAGAGATTAGACAGAGGGGACCAAGCTCATGAGGACCGTGCTCACTTTAAAAGAGAACAACTTTCTCTTACCACTACTATAATTATAGGATTTCACGTCGGTTATTTTCCTAATTTACGTTTGTTATTAAAGTGATATAAAAGTATTGACGTAGTATATTAAATTATAGATGTTGGTTCAACAACCAATGTCTATACTATCATATATATGTCAGTGATCTCGATGGGGTTCTCTCATTCTCTTACACTTTTTCAAACGGGAGATAGCATCAAACTTGTGTGGGCATAAATCCCGGATTTTATCGTTCTCAAGGGATGGTCGCTCGGAGTTAGCCCTAGGTTGCTAATGTTGGAAAGTAACAACATCGCCAAAACATGCAAGCACGTCATGCGCACACAAATGAATAACGTCGTAGTGGTTTAACAAGATTAAAACTAGCAAGTCGACAACAATAGAAAACAAATAGGGGTTGGATTGCTTAGTGTGGATGAAGATGCTTAAGAGATCATTTGACATAGGGAAAGAGGATTCCATTGCTAAGTCAAGAGAGTGGCTTACGTCCGTTCGTAACATAGACTACTAAGACTTTGTTTAGGATTCACCTAAACCTTTCCTTAAGCACCTTGCCTCAACTCTTTCATAGCCAAGCCCCGTAGGGTACCTTGAGTTAAGAAATGCTAAGGATAGGAGCTTGGATTGATCTAGCATAGATCAATCCCTCAAACACCATAGGAGGTGATCAAGTTCCTAGGATTCAAACAAGTCAATCCTCAACAACAAGACATAGAAGCAATGGCATCAATCAATCCCTAATTCAAGAAATAAGTCATGAAAGCATCACCAACACACACTTACACAATCCAAACCCTAAGTAATCTAGCCTACCATATTCAAATCAAACATAAAAGCATTCATAGATCTAAGCATAGCAAAGCAAAATAGAAATGGAAAAGGAATAGAAATTATACCAAAAATAGATTAACAAAATGAAAGCAAGTCTTGCAAGATCCTTGAATTGGAGTTTGTCAAGCTCTTCCTTCAAGCAATCCCTTCTACAAAGTGTTTTCTCTCCCAATCTAAATGTTAAGCTATCTATTTCTCTCTCTAAAATTGGTGTCCTCCTTACAAATCTGATCTAAAACACTTTAAATAGCCTCCCCTTTCAATTCCCTTCGCAGCTCTTCCAACGCAGCCTCTAACGTCCAGGCAACGTGCATTGCTCGGGAACTTATTCTGCCCAACGCCCATTGCAATGCACGTTGTCCGGTGCGTTGAACTTACTAGAAATCAGCCTTGTTTCACTCCTTCACAATGTACACTGCAAC